CACTGCGACCTAGAAGATCTTTTGTATCTTTTTAAAGGAGTCCCTAACCCAACGTGGCCAAGATACAGCCGGACAGTGACAGAGAATATGCTCCGCAGTTTCATCAGCCTCGAGGCAGAGTCGGCATTCCGACTCTGTGATCGCACCTATTCGTTCCGAGTGTACCCACTCAGTCATTATGGCTCTCGAAGGGGACAGGCGAAAACTCTTTCGCGCATACCCCACTTTCTACTCCTGGGTTAATTTTGGCCCTCCAGTAGGTATATATCGTAGGAGAGTGTGAGTTTGTTTTAAGAATCTAATCTTTTACCCATTCGCCCGGGCAGGTGTCTGGGATTTTGGAATGGCAAAATCGGGGCTCCTTTCATTTAGTGCATTAGTCGCGGTGGAGGGTAGTGATACAGTAGCTAGCATACATGCCGCCCTCGGTGCCTTTTAAAATCTTTCTCTAATAGTCGATTTTTCTAAATACTCAATGTTTATACTTGATAGGAACGTGCTGATTGTTTCCATGCTGTAACTCTATGTATTTGTTAAGATTTTAATCGGTGAGAAGAGACCTCAGCATCTAGACCCTCATATTGCAATCCTCTTCAGGAGCTCTCGTTTGTGCCGCATAAGAAATTTTCTTAGAAGATAGCAGAGATTTCTAAAAACGACATCGTTCAATTACTTCCAATCTTCTGCAGTGACTTTCAGGCAGAAATAGCTGATATCAAGGAAGCGGAAAAATGTGATATCAGTAAGGGAAGTTAGCATATACTACATCTGATAGCCAGGCATCTATCAGAGCCCTGCAATGGGATTATAGAAATTGCTACACTAAATTTCTATCGCTACAAAATGTGCAACGCGAAAGCTGAAGGCCTTCTATATAAAATCATAAGCATTATGTATATGTTATATTTCCTTCGAGGCGTTGTATATTTTTAGGCACAAACCCCCTGCTGAACCAGGCGGTTATCAAAGTCTGAACCACGTCGGAGTACGGGAAATAACGTGTCGGATGGATTGGCAAGGAAAGGCACCCCTGAAATGTTTCAACCGGATGGGGAACATCTAGGGATGCCTCTGGCTCCTGGTTCACTCTTGGACGGTTGGACCGCAAGTAAGCTCAGCGAGCGCTGGGTAAAAGCAAGGACATGCGCAATTGCAAGTTGAAATTAGCCGCAGTCGTAGCTTCGCAATCGGCTCGCAGCGTTTTGCCAACTGAATAATGGCCTCCGTTAAATTTTCGTGGTATCGCAAAGGACAATGTCTTAATTGTCCAACTGCGTCCCTCGTCAGAGCTAACTAATATGATCTAACCTTACCTGCCCTCTAATTAAGTATATAGTAGTAAATACAACTCAAGGTTTTATCGATCTGTGCAAGTGGGCCATGGCATCGAATGGTCATTTTAATATATATATTTCTGTAAAAATTTCAAGGACGTGAACGCTTCAAAAACACTACTATGATTAATAAGAATTAATGCAAAAGCCTAGATGCATTGATTTTGTCGCCTGTCACGAAAAGGTAACCAATCAATCCCTCTTTAGAGATAAAATCTTCTACACCTGTGTGCCCATAGGAGCATCAATACATACATACATACATATGTAAATATAGAAAGCCTGTTTGTTTACAAGTTTAGGCCACGTACAGTGACTTTCCGCTAACCTCAAAGACTTTATGAATAATCCACAAAAGATCAGTTGAGGGAACTTGCAAGGTAAACGTCACAAAAGAAACAAATAGTTGGCTGGTAAACAAACAACTGCAGAAACACCTAGGCAGGAGCATGTGACAGGAATTTTAAATACTCCTGCCTGCAACGCAAGCGAACAACAACATTAATTACTGTGTATGTATGCATGTTTGTAAACGCTTTGGCAAACAAGTTTCTCATATGCTGACACTAGCCGCTACTGTATGCCATTATCCACTCCAGCGTTAGCTGGGAATAAGTACGAGTGGAGTAAGTAGTTCTTTGCCAAAGATCAATGCTAAGATCGTTGTTAGCCACGGGCGAAGCAGAATAAAATCTTCAACAAACAAAGTAACAGCGAACGTGAATCGAATAAATTACAAGCGAATGCAGAAGGAATAATAACTAGTAAGGAAGTTACGAAGAACTGCTAAGAGTAGTACGCGTAGTTGGCTATTGATGTAGTCTTATGAGGGGAATTGGTGTGTGCGGGCAAGAATAAAGTTCTGCACGTGCGCAGAGGTCTGTGCCGAAGGATTCGAGGCATAGTATGTACGAGTAACTTCTACATGCGTACTTATAGCATAGGCAGACGGCTTACGGCGAAGTTGATCAAATCAAAATTATAGCCTGACATACGACAGTATTGCGGTTAAGCGGACCGCGAGGGCGTGGGTCGAATCCCTTGGGCAGCAGCAATTTTTTTTTACGTTGTTTTTTTTTTGGTTCCAAGTATTACTTCTATTTTTTTTTTTAAAGTAATTATAGCGTTTGTGGGCTTTTTTAATAGATTTCACTCTAAAAAATTCAACCAACTTGAAATAGTTATGTGAAATACCATAATAAAAAATAATAATGTGAGTTAGAGTACATAGTTCTTAGCACTCCGCCGACCCAAACTCCTTGGCATTATTTCCTTATTTGTTTGCACAGAGAATGTAGGATACAGAGAACAAGCGTAACTAGTCTGCACGTCTATTTCGCTGTTGTTGTTGTATCGGCAGCTCAGCCCTGCCTAGATCGGTTTGTCCATCAAACGATGTCGCCAGGCTCAGCTAACGGGAGACCCAGAAAGTGCGCAACTTCCACAGGATCGGTCCATAGGGACAAAGGCGTTAGCTGGGTGGAGTTTTCGAGGCATGTGAAGAGGTGCCGTGAGCCTTGGGGTGACTTTCGTGTGCCGGACGCTCTTTGGGCACATTCAGAGCGAAGTTAGACTATTGTGGTGCGAGTCTCCCCAGGCAGACAGAGCTCTGTCCCGTCCACGTCGGGTGGTTGTGTACCCTAAACGGCATTCGCAGGTCGGTAGTCGATATAGGTTTAGATCTGCTCTCGGTGAATGCCGTTTATAGGCTGGCTGAGCCAGAGGTTGTTTCATGAACCTCTGATAGTCGTCCTTCAGTTTGTATAGATATCTCCTGACGTGCCTTGGCGAGGGCTCAGCTACAAGCAGTTGTATGTTCGGGTGCCCGGGCCTGTGACACCGTACTAGGAACTGCTTACAGAGCATTGTGTTATGCTCCTTGATGGGGAGCCTCTGGGCCCCCTCGTGTAAGTGGTGTTGTGGCGACATCAAAAGGCATCCAGCTGCGGTCCGGAGTGCCGCCATTTTGGTCAGTTTTGTAATTGAAAATTTCCGGGAGCATCATTAAGTTTTTAGAATGAATTCTAGTACTTAATCCGGATCAACTGTAGTTAATTGCCGAGATAATTCCGAATTAACGAGCTGATACGGATCAACGCCGCCATCTGTCTATGCTTTTAGATGATTATAAATTATTAGCATTTTGTGTGCATTGGTACTCTTATGCAACTTTTTTAAGGCTTCTTTCCAGCAAGACGACTAAACTCCTCCATACGAAGTTGTTATTGTACAATTTTTAATGCGAATAAATAAATTTGGAATTTTTACGACAGACTCCCCAGAGCGCAGGAAATACGCATTAGATATTGCCAATTTATGGTCAACATTAAATCAGCACAAAATTTGATTGCGGTTGCAGGTGTTTAAAGCAGTAGTATCTGCCTTAGGGCGCGAACAGAGTGGCCGCTTGTTGCCGAGCCGAGCCGACTGACGCTTATTGCGAGAACCAATGCGAGAAAACTGGTACTATACAAATTAGTACAAATAAGCGCGAACAGGTCATAGTGGGCGCCGAGCTGGTCAGAGCGCAAAGCTGATTGAATGCGAGAAAACAGTTCCAAAGCGTATTTCAGCGCCGAAAACATTGTTTATGTTATGTTGTTATGATTTCAACTTGTTTGGAAAACATAAAAAAAAATTAAAAACAAAAATTTAAGAAAAAGTTAATAAAACATGCAATCAAAAAATTAAAAAAATAATAAAATTTAAAAATAAAATAAAAATNAAAAAATAAAATAAAAATTAAACAAAAAAATAAAAATTCAAATAAATAATAAAAATTAAATAAAATTATAACAATAGTAAAAAAATTAAAAAAAAACATAAACAAAATTTAAAAAAAAATGTAATAAAAGAAGTAAATAAAATATACATATAAAAAATTAAAAAACATAATAAAAATAAAATAAAAATTATAAAAAAAATTTTCGATTAATATAAAATACATAAGAAAAACCTAATAAATAAATTATTGTTATTAAAAAATCTTTTTTATTTATTTTTTTATTTATTTATTTTAAATCACTATATAAGTGATGAAATTCTCCAAATTCACTTCGTTTATCATTTATTGGATGTTTTCCAAATGATTTTTATTGATAAAATACTTTAAAACAGTAGCCGAAGCTAAATACTCATCATCTGACGAATCCATATCTTTTCACTTCAATTTCACAAACACGAATGAACAACAAACCCAAATGCATACAAACATACATAAAACACAAATAATAGATAAAATATCAGCGCTGATTCTCGCATCCACTATGCACACTCAAACTTGTTTCTCGCATGAACAAGTTCTCGCAATAAGCGTCAGTCGGCTCGGCTCGGCAACAAGCGGCCACTCTGTTCGCACCCTTAGTGTATGCGAGTGTGAAGACGAAATAGTCAGCTGGCTATAATTTTATACACATCTAAGTGTATGAAAAAAGTTGTATGCGCCTATTATTAAGATCATAAATCGGTTTATTGAAATTTATTGGCCGTTATGAGGTGTGCCACTTCTCCTTTTCTATTTTCCCCTGCCAAAAAATGAATATCTTTCACAAGACGCAATAGCGCTCTTAGGTGCCAGCGAAGCCCATAAAACTCTTTACACTCGGTAGTCTTTTAATTACGCATATTCATTTTTATTTTGCTCATAATTTCCAAACACGCACTCACCTTGATCAAGTCGACGCTCCATACGCCGCCACTGCCGCATGTGATGCACTAAAATGCCGGCTGCTATAATGAAAAAGAGCAAGCAGGCTAACACGGCCAAAAAGAGCGCCGTTGTCTGCCAAGCCATCGGCAGTGTTCCATCTTGCAGTTGCTGTAACTCATCTTGTGTCAATTGTTCCTCAAAGTCCATGTCGCCGTCGTCCTTTCGGCGCTGCGGGAATAGAATAAGTTAAGAAATTGTAAAGTAATATAAAGACTTTATAGGCATAAAGAGTAAAGGAAATGAAATAATATTACTACCGGCAAACAGTTCTAACTCAAGTTGCTCCATATTTTTATATTTTATAATTTTTGAGTGACATTTTCTCTTGGGGTTTTTTCCTATTTGGAACTCACCACGATAATGCCTTTTTAAATATCAACCGCTTTGCCCAAAATATAAGAACTTGCAGTTTTAGGTCGACTTTTAGACTTTGATGCTAATTGGGTTTAGAAACACGCATCACTTTGGCAACAGGAATAAATTGCGCCCTAGTTGTTTGATTAAACTGTCAAACTGACCGTCTAGATTGCCGAAAACGAGTGGAAATAAGCCTGCATTTTCGGCAAGGTCATGGAGAAGCCAACTATCACACAAGTCTCCGGAGTTTAGGTGAGGGATATCCTTGAAGAGAAGGGAGTGGCTGTTCCTCCAAGTGTCCCGTGGTTCTGACTTAAGTTTCTCTGAAGTGTAGGGAAAGGAGCTGAAACGCAGGCGGTAGAAATCCTCCAGTGAGACTGAGGGCAGTAGTCCAGCTGCTACAGCTGACAAGCGATCATGGTTTACGAATCTATATAGGTGGTGCCCAGGAAAGCAGGTGGGTTCGCAACCATATGGTCTTGCCAATTCTGTCTCCTTCTGTCATGACTAACGGTATGGCCAGTTCTGCTATGCTTTTAATGATTATCTGGCCGGCGAAAACTTCGTTTGTGACCTGTGAAACTTACTTAAATAAAGTAGGAATATTCTAAGGCGGCTATTTATTTTATAAGTAGACGGTGGACCATTCTGTCCGAGAATCCCCACCTAACAGCCATTGTGTGAAGTCGCCTATCTAAGACGAGGTTGACGAGTGCTAATCTTAGAGTGTCTTCTAACTCTTTTGGTGACCAAACCTGTGCAATCTCCTGTTAGGTTGCTACTAGGCTGAGCTGCAGGAGCAATAATAAGCAGAAGCTGCCAAAATAAAAACCGGGGCAGCAGCTTTTCGAGTATATTTTTACTTTGATTTGTAGCATTCTGATCCCCCGGGACCGGGCTTTTTAAAGGGCCTGAAATATCGGAGCCATAACTTTATATTAGTAAGGAAACATTGCGCATGCTTGCAAAGAAATGATAATTTTCCATATTTTCGCGAGAAACTGCTTCTCCGTTATAGGCTTTTACCATAAATATATTCCTATTCAGCTGATTTTTTCTGACTCTATGCATAAATGGAAACTTTGAATGGATTACATGCTTTTAAATTATTACAAATTATGTATAGGAGCCCGTGGTTTTCAGTTCGGGACCCGAGTTTTCTTTCGACGTCCCCTGGTGCTGTACATAGGGCTTAGTCAGCTTGTGCTTAGTCACATTGCTGTAGACTGGTGTTTGAAGAGCGATTCGAGGAAACCACTAAAAAGGACGCCATTCTGCATCAAAAACTAAATTTTGAAGAAAAGAAAAGAAAATGGACTTGGCCCCTTTTCACCTTTAGGTAGCGATATGTTACATTTCTTTTCTCTATTCTGAGCGTTAAGAACAAATTTCTTCTTTTCCAGATATTATGTACCCGCACATTGCAAAGGCATTCGATTTATTCTGCCTGCTAAGTTTTAGCAATAGGCTAAATACTCCGGAAAGCGCCAACGATCTCTACATAATCTGAAGCATAGCTTAGATCCTAGATAGCTGGACTGACTGTAGCGAGTTATGACACACCTACTTTTAAAGGCCCAACTTTGCCATTAAAATTTTTTCACCGAATATCCAATGAAGATTCGGCTTTAGATGAAAACGATATTAAAAATACAACGTATTTTGCTAAAAAAAAAAATCATTTATTCCAAGAGTCAGTGAATTATTGAACTACAAGGATAATGCTTGTTTAGGGGACGTTATTAGAATGGAGAGCTCACATTCACGTCAGTTTACCACTGACTGCTACACTTCATTGTAAAAACAGTTACAATTCACATTCAATCGCTTTAAATCGTTTTAAACGACTCACCTCCTTCCAGTTGGGTTCCGTTTTCGCCAGCACCACCCAATCGATCTTCAGATCATAAATGGAACCGCATATCGTGTCACGATGCAACTGACACGGACGCAACGGTATCAAATCCCCCTCACACACAGTGCACGTAATACATTTGTCCTTGAGCGGATCCCACCAGCTGTGTAGATCGCAGGGTGAAGCAACACAGAAGGAACATAGCGTGGTAAGGACGAGCAACGCACCGATGTAGGTGGCGGCTTTTGAAGAGCTACTCAGCAGAGTGCGTATAGCCGCATTTAATAGTTGTATTGCAGGTGAAATTGTTCTTGTTATAGTTTTAATTAAGTTGATATTGCTGCTCCCGCTGGAAGTATTGTTGTTATGGCTACTGCTATAGTTGTTGTTACTGTTATTGTTGTGATCGTAGTGATCTGTGTCATGCAGTGCCGCACTAGAAAGCGTATTAAACGCAATTTGATTGTTATTGCTGTAGTAGCACTGATTGCAGTTATTGATATTGCAATTCGTTGTATTGTTGCTGCTGTTGTGGTGGTTGTTGTTGTTGTTGTTGTTGTTGTTAATATCATCACGCCTTCTTCTTCTTCGCCTGCTGCTCGTTGCTGCTATAGCCTGTGCGCAATATCGCTGCAGTCGCCAGCTTATGCTCTGCGCATGTGTGTGCATTGTGTCGGGGTGTGTGTGGGTAGTGGTGGGGGTCGTGGGGGTGGTGGTGTTGTGGTTGGTGATTGTTGGGCGGTTATGATTAGCAATATTACTTGTATTCGTTCTTGAATTGGGCATGGTCACTGCTCTTATGATTGTTGTGGCTAAATGTGTATCTAACATAGTGGGTGTAAGGATAGGAGGAGTGGGCGTGGTCGTTGCTGGATAGGCGGGTGTCGTCGTAGTTCGAGTCGACATTATCTGAAAAATTAGAGAAAAAAAAATATTTAAAAATTTTTTTTAAATATTTAGCGCTAATTATGTGCGTATTTGAGGAAAATAAAACGCAATGGAATGCTAATAAGGCGGCCTTTAATATGCCTTTATAAATGTATGTGTGTACATGCTATAGCTAACGGGTATTAGTACTCATGTGCTGTGGGAATTTACTCCAGTAGCAGTCAATTTAACTAGCTGCATACTATGTACATATGTATTTATCTTCTAGTAGAGACATAGAAAAAATCAAATTCAGAGTTTCCCATGAGTGCTAAACACTTTCTCTATTTTTCCGCTTCAATGTCAGCAGAATCTTCTTCAATTGTTGTTACTAGGAATTTATGCACATTTGTACAAATGCACAGGGATGCGTTTAACTCTTTTTTATATGTGTGTATGTATGTATGTATGTATGTACATGAACATCAATATGTATTTATTCCCGTAGATGCGTTAAAGTATGTATGTATTTATTTGATGGTTTTATCCATTAGCGACCAGCAATTTTAACTCCATTACTCACCCAGAGCGTTGTCAATTACTATGCGTTTAGAATGCGCTGAAAATGGATTTTCCCAGCAGCCTTAGGGCTCTAAAACCATGTAATGATGTGTGGCAGAGTTGCCAGACAAAGTAAGTTCTGAATTTGATATTGGAAATAACCTCTACAAAATTGAAATCTAATTACGCTGCATAAAATTTTATAAAATGTTCGTAATTCGATATTGGACCGTATGCAAAAAAAAATAAGCAAATCGCTGGCTTAGAGTGAAAAGCTGCTAAGCCCACTTTTTTTGAAAACTCATATTTTAATAAAGGAGGTTACAGAAATTAAAAATGCATTGTTTCGAAAAGGATAGAGATACTTGTTTTATTCATTCTCGTTTATATTCAATGAAAGGACACTTTGCTAAGTCCAAAAGATGCACCGAAAATCCGATAAGGCCAAAGGAGTACAAAATCTTTTAATAAAGATCGAACCCTCTGATTCATATGAAGTTTTGCTTCGCTTTAAACAGCCAAAATGTTGTATGTCTATAAGAAGTTTTTTTCCTCTCCTGTAAAATTTTTAAAATGTGAATTAGCAACTTTTCACTCTAAGCTAGCGAAATGCTTTTTCTTAAAATGTCAGACCTTTCACTCAATTTTTCCAACAAAAAAAATTTTGTGTGAAAAGTATGAAGTTTTAAGAAAAAGTAATTGCTTCGTTTTTATGCATACGGCCGATTGTTATCGAAAAATAAGAAAAGCCTATAGCCGTGAATGTTCAGTGGGCGACAAAAGTCTACGTTCAGAGATTTGTTCGCAACTATATTTTTTAAAACATTAGCAAAAAGATATGAAAATAAAAAGCTTCGCATTCATAGCGAAAAATTCTCTGTCCATAGACTCTTGTCGCCCACTGTGTGCATATATTTTATTTGAGAAATCTTCACAAATTTCCAAAAAAAAATCTAAAAAGATAGGGTAAAATCCTAAATAAATTTAAAATATGTACTTATTCAGGCAGGTTCTGCATTTCATTTCCGAGCGAATTTCAAGTCCTACCAATTTGAAGTCAAAGTCTAAAAATTCTTTCTTCTCTAAAAAATACAAAAAAAGTCTTCAAAGTCTAAAAATACAAAAACAAAAAAAAAATCGAAGTTTCTTATTTCAACCAAACATTTCGCTTATATTTTTATCAAAGTTGTTGGCAAGTTTATTTTTTATGGAAACAGTGAAAATATGTATATTTTTTTCTGAATTCATGTTAAGCCCTAAATTATTTAACGAATATCTGAGGCAAACATTTTTCTATCCCAGACGTCATATATAAATGTTATTTTAGAATACGACCTGTACTGGGTCACCATTCTTCAGCTTAGCCATTTCATACATTTAGGCGTTTAAGCAATAAAGCTATTTCAAGAAGGCTGGCAACCCCTAAATTACACACTGTTTAGTGTCTGGCTAAACGGCTAAACGGCTTGAGATCACTCTTTTATTGCTTGCTTAATACTTTTGTTGTCGCTGAAATGACCGAGGGTCAGCACAGATTTGAACTTCAAGCTAATAAAATTTACTCGTGTGCATGAGATTCATAAGGGGAATTCACAAACATGCCACTAAGCATGTATGTTTTTATGTTGGTAAATATATATTTATACATACATATGTGGGTATACATATATACACATACGATTCCACAAATGTTTGTACATATTTACTTACAATTTTTGCAGCCATATATGCATCTATAGATGTATGTCTGACATACATATTCTTTCACATACATATGAAAGTGTGTATTCATATACATACATATGTGAGTAGCGATACTACATTGTAATAGAAATGTGCCATGTGCTTTTTGTTTATTCTAAATTAAAATAATTTTTACTACATAAGTATGAACTGTGTAAATTGGACTGTCTTGCATGTACCTATACGAGGAATGGGGTTTAGCAACAAAGTGGCAAATGAAAGTGAGGAAAGCATTCTAAATTCAGAATTTAGTATTTCTACAGCAAAAACACATGAACATATAACTATGTACATACGTAGGTACAGTTATGGAATATAATTAGCAAATGATCTCAGCGAAGAAGGGATTAGTGAGTACGATTCTAAAAATGTATAGATTCGCATACGTCGGACATATTTACAGTTGCATGGAACAAATTAACAACGACGACAACTCAAATACTAACAGTCCAGGTTCTGGTATTGCGGTTGGTGAAAGTTTATTTTTCTATCTGGTATAATCCTATTTAACTTTGTTTAATCACAAAACTATACAATTTTCTACTTACGAAGAGTCTAAAAGGGGTATTTCTTTGCGAACTCTAATCGATTTTCTCTATAATATCCGGAGAGCAATGGGTTCTTCCCATTGGCCCACTTTACGAAATCGTTATTTTCATTATTTTTCATAAATCGCAGGTAGAACATTATTTTACGTCATGTGTGTCCATGTCCTTTTTTAAAATTAACTCGGAGAGTTTATCTCCTCCTTCGATGGAACTAAAGACATCATATGAGCAAATTTCATGGGTTGTTTTCTTGGTGTCACTCCCTTCTCAGGCCAGAAAAAAAGTCAAAGCATTCTTCTTACATTTATGTATTTCAAGCAATGGAGTTCCAGAAATATGTTAAATAAAAAATAAACCAAGTATCTGAACAGTTTAAGCCTTAAAACGTTTATTTGTTTCGGGAAGTTTTTGAATAGAATGTCCATATAATAGAGGCAATGAAATTTGGCACCAAATGCAAGATATCTGTGGACTTTCGAAAGTGTGGCACCAAATTAAAAAAAAAAAAAGTGGCAGCTATTTTGTAAATTTTGAACTTTGACGGTTTTTTAATTTTAAAAGTTTAAGACACCTAAAAATTTTAACACTAGAGTAATAAACCTAGTGTTCCCCCAAATGCAAAAGAATTACATTGTTTATAAGATAACGATAATTTACGAAATAAAAATTGCAATTTTACAATTTTTATTGGCACACACGAAATTCTTTCTAAAATTGTTACATGCCTGAAGAAATTAATATATACCTATATTCGTGAAGACTGCTATAGGAAAATATTCCACGGCTATACTTAATTACTTTTAAATAATATGACTTTTAAGTTAAGTCGTGCAACTAAACGTGTTAGCTGGCTGTGTATGGTGCCACGCGGCGTATACGCTACACACGCAAATACGGGTATATGAGCACGAGTTCTTATTTGAATATTTTTTTTTTTTTTGGAATATCTTTTTTAAGATTTCATTTAAATACAATTTCGCTATGAAATTTTGTTCTTTATGCAAAACTGACGAAAATCGCTGTCTAACACGTTTTTGTCGAAAAATGAAACAACTCGTGAAATTTGCTCATATGCGTTGCTCTATTGTACATGTATGTACATACATATGTATGCACAATTGCTTTACTTACTTTTGTATACAATCTTTACTAAGTCTTTTATACTTTTTTTCCTTTCTTTTTCTAGCCAATGCTTCGTTTCACTGAAAAGCAAAACAATTTTATTTCATACTCAAAATCAATTTTTGTTATTAACTAGTAGTTCTAAATCATCCATCTTCACGAGTGCATTTGCACCTACATAGTATGTATGTATGTGTGTATATAGTATGTAGAAGTATGTGCATACATACATACACACATAATTAGATAAATAAAAATTAGTGCACATTAGGAATGTTAATCCCAGTATCCCAGGCCAAATATAGTAAAATTGCGTTTTTAGTTTTTCACCCTGACGTCAGTAATTCAGAAACTATAAAAAAAATTCAGAGAAATGTGCTTGGAGAAGAAGTATGGGTTTTAATGAGGAAATCCTGTAGAATTTAAACAGATTAAAGTTTTTGGTGCAGATAGACTAATAAGTATTGAAAATGTCCTTTTAAAATTTTATCCTTGAAATTTGGCAATATTTGTTTTTGAAAAAATTATATGTAGGACTTACATAAACTCGATAACATCCACGAATTTCATCCATCTAACTTTATCAGCTTAAAAAATTACCTATTCGTCCCTTGTGAATCCAAAAAATTTTAATTTTTCTAAATGCTGAAGAAATTTCCCCTTGAATTTGGTGCCCATACTTTTATTCTACATTGCATTGAATTTTTTAAATAATTTTTGGAATTAATCATATCTTTGAAATTACAAAGTCCTTTAAAATAAATTCTGACGTCAGAGAGATAAAATAAAAACGACACTTAAATAAAAAAGTAGGTTTCAAACCCATTTATTTATTATTTATTTTATGGTAGGAGAGCTTCTCAAACAATATAAATAGAAGCAATTTTTTTCGATTTAAGTTGTTGAAAAGTAAAGAAAATCTAAATACCGGGACTAATCCCGAGATCCTGGAATTGTAATAACGACATACCGAAAATCCCGGGATCGGAAAAAGCTGAAAATGAACATCCCTAGTGCACATATGTATTTATATTATGTATTTACATATTTGATGTTTGTAGTATATAA